CATTCATATACATATTTTATGTTTCATATTTATTATTTTATCAAATGCATATATTGTGCAAAACTTCATTTTTGCATAACATTGAGTTTCTAGTTTGTAGACTTCATAACAATATTTTATATCATTTTATTAAGTATATAAAATAATTTTATAAAGTTTTAAAAGTTTTTTTAAATTAATATGTCAAAAACATCTATGTTTAGTTTTCATGTTTTGGACATTTTTGCAAAATGTTGATATTTTACAAATGGGATGTGCAAATTCAAAAATTATTTTTGCAACATATTTATTATTAGCAACATATTTATTATCATGTTTACAAGCATTTCACAAAGTTTTACAATTTATGAATTTTTTTGCTATTTTAAAGACACTTCAAAAATTAGATTTACTATTCAAAACAAGCTGATATTATGTTATCAGTCGACTGATACAAGGGATCAGTTAGCTGAAAAAATCGTCTGAAATCATGAAATATTTATGTTTTTATGACTGATGATCAACCAGTCGACTGATGAGTTTATCTGTCGATTGATGAGAACTTCAGTCGACTGATGAGCTGAGATTGACCTATAACGGTCATCTCATCAATCGATTGACGGAACCTGTCAGTTGACAGATAGCCTCCAATAGCTATATTTCCAGACGTTGTCTTGTTTGTGTTTTTTGGTCTTTTTGCTGGTTTTTTTTATCTTTGGGTTTTCCTATATATACCCCCTCATACCCAGCTCTGTTTCCTAACAAGAGAAAAGTTTTAAAAAGTTTTACAAAGTTTGTTTAAGGGTTTAAAAGTGTGTTTAAGAGTTTAGTTTGTGAAGAAATTTTCACAAGGACTTGATGAGCTAATCTTTGCTGTTTGGGCATTCAACTCATCTCCCTCTCTCTCTTGTTCTATAGAGAAGTTTTTCTAAACTCTTTCTAGCTTTATATTTATTTGTTTGTTAATCGTTTTTATTAAAGCTAGATTTTAATTAAGTTTAGACTTGTTTTGATTTATCTCTTTGTTACACACACCCACATTAAGCTTATAGTATTTTATACATAGTATAATTTGGGGTTGTGGGTTTGTAACTTAGAGTGTGAGCTTAATTCTGTTCTCATTCATTTTAGAGAACAACCATTTGTTGTAGAGAGCCTTATTGTGAGTTACACTTTATAATACACTTGTACACCAAGAGGAGTGTGTGGTTAGAGAAGGGGTCATCCAAAGAGGAGTGGCGTCGGTAGTAAAGCCTAAGGAGAGGTTATAAAATTCGAGCACTTGAGGGAGACACAAGCTAAGATCAACACTTAGAGGGTGTAGAGTGGGATTGCAAGAGTGTGAGTTGTAAAATTTTTGGTAAGCTAGAAAACTGAGTGTGAGGTGTAAACATTTTTGGGTGAGCGTCGAAAACCCGGTGTGATAGTGGATTTCTCCCCGGGAGTGGAGAGCGGAGACGTAGGACGAAAGGTCCAAACTCCGTGATCATTTTGTATTGTTTGTGTTTGTTTATTTGCGTACTATCAGTCTTGTTTATTTATTGTTTATTTCACCCTTGTGTTAGTTTATATATCCTTGCATATATTTCACCATATATCTCATTGCTAGGATATTGCTCTTTGTTTATATTGCCCGTTCTTGCACATAACTCTTGTATATCTATCTTATAAGAATAATTTGTTAATTAATTTTTATTGGTATTAAATCGTATTATATTAGCATAAGACCCTATTCACCCCCCCCCCCCCCCACATATTAAATCGGATTAGGTTAGCATACCCCCCCCCCCCCCCCCTCTAGGGTTCTTTCCTAGTGGATTTAGAGTCTAACATAAGGTTCTCACATTCACATGTGGATTCAATGTCCATACTCAATCAGTCTGTGGCAATAGGTTTTATCTCCCCTATTCCGGATGATGCATCCTGATGATCGTACCACGGAGTATAGGTTTATCAGCCCAAATCTAGAAACACATCAATCATCTTCGAGTATTGGTACCGTCGAGGTCTCATTATGGGATAACGTTTAAATACTCCTAGTGTGGTATCACCGAGGTCTCATTACGCGATAAACGTCCACACTGAAATATCCCCGACAGATATGCGTGCGTCATTATGTGTTATACCAACAATAATTAACTCAAACATGTATTGTGCATCTCCACTATGCATATATATTTATTTAACAACATAATTCAAGCATTTGTGCACGTATCTCAATGTGTGTGTCCATATTTCATGTTCACCAACACCTCAGGTGTTAAACAGGTCATAAACATCATATTACATATCAGATAGATCATGAAAATCCCTCAAAAATATCAAACATGAGTCTAAACATGCACAGGCTTCTGTCTGTTTGGCGGTAGACCACGCCTTAAGCGGCGGTCGACCGGACTGCAATCAGCAGCCTATTTGTTGCAGATTCGTGATATTGTGTTTATGCGTGTTTTTCATGATTCAAACTTTTTAGTTCATCATAAAACTTGTATAGAACACTGTAAACACTAGATTAACATCTATAAATATTATTAAACACATGAAACATGATTAATTACATGATATATCATAATCAAACCATAAACATGCACAAAAACATCGATATGTCAATAAAAACATCAAAACTCAGTTAAACCATGTTGTTATTTACTTTCAGATCTTAAATCACTTCTTGAAATTCGTTCTTTAGCTTTTAATTACTTATTATTTCAAATTATCACTTATTAACTCAAATTTACGGGGTTTTATAATTATGTACCTCCATTGGTGTGCTTGTGACTTTTGATAACAACAAAAAGGTGAGAATGGAGGGAAACTATGAATCATTCATGAAGTTTTGTTTCCTTAGATTTTGTTCCCTTTTTTTTTTGAAAAACTCGATGCATTATTGCAGAGGGTTCCACAATATGTACCTTCTCATCTCACTTTTCAATTATGCATGAAAATAGGAGGAACACTGTATATCGTTTACTATCTCAATAAAGTGGATGTGTGTTTATTCATTGCTTATGTATCTCAAGCAGTTGATTATCTCAATGTTTCAAAATTCCTGTTTGTTATTATCAAGAGCGAGAGATTATAAGGACGTTGCCTATATAATATCTCTAGTTTGAGTAATATCAAGTACATATTTGAGTTTAACTTGTGTTTTGAGATTATTTAATATAAAAAAGATGAAAGAGATTGAAAATCAGCTCAAAAGATGAATTTAGCACTTGGACCATTAGTAGTTCCACATTAACCATCGATGGTGCTCTATACATCATAAATATTGTAATCGATCACCGGTGGTGTAAAAAGTCCAAAGAGGTTTAGATTATTGATGGGATCATCGACAATCAATGAAGGGTAAGTCACCATCGATGATTGAGAGCCTCAATTGATTGTCAAAAGGTTGATTCTAGATTTTTCAAGTTTGAATTTCAGTCGCTTGTCAAAAGGTTTGAGAATCATCATCAAGGAGAAGTGTTTTGACTAGCCTCATAGATCGCTCACTCGCCATGAACATCATTACCTGATAAGTTCACAGCAAGGAAACCTGCCCTTAGATCTCAAGATCTATGTCAACCTTCTAGATCTCAACTTATATGTTCTTGGAGTTTGATCTTAATCGAAAAGGGCTGTTGGATTTTTTTCTAGTTGAGTGTTACAGATCTTCTGTTTTTTTGTACTCTTTTAACTTTTATGGCATATTTAAGTCGTTTGAATTGAGGGTCAGGAACTAGTTAGGTGTAGAGATTACTCATTTTGGGGAGTTTGGTTAAACAGTTAGTTTTAGAATAAACTAGAGCTTCAGCCTTGTAAGCCTACTGAATTGGGTTTGTCATTCAGGAAAATTTGTTTATAGTGAGGAAGCCCCTTCATGATAAGGAAAAATCAGTGTAGCATTTTTTTCTGAACTAATATAAAAAATTCTCGCTTGCTCTAGTTGTTCTTTGTACGTTTGATTTTTGCTTATTTTTTTTATCACAGCTACATAATCTATGATAACATGTAAAACAATAGGAAATCCTATTTAACCTACTCTAGGCTTTCATCTCAGATCCAACATTAACTTGTTTAGGGTCAGAGCAAGTCATATATCCACGAGAAAAAAGAGATAATTTATTCACTAATTAACTAAAAAGGGAGGTACATTAGAAGAGATCCTTTAATCTCAACAGCCACTGTCACCATTGATACAAGTCTACCTTTTTTATAATTGACTCCAATTATTTCAATCTAAATTGCTGATGCAAATTAAAAGATGAGATACAACCATGTAGGTTTTCAGTATTATCTTGAAATCAATTTTGCATCAAAACCCACTATTGTGAAAACTATTATTTTAAAATTGGACATGGTTATATCACATCCCTTTAAATTTAAATGGATCGTTAGAAATTAAGATAACTAGATGCTCTTCAGTTACCAACTTATTTGAGCTAATCTGAAATAAGTTATGCTGCGATAATCGAAATGACAAACTGAATTATTTCGGAATTTATATATCACCCAGGGAATCAAGCGCAGACTGATAACGGGCTGGGATGATGTCCAGCAGCTTAGAATTTTAGACAACGCAAGTTACGCAACAATCAGGGTACAGCAGGAGAACACTGTAGTTAACTGAATGTTTATTTTGTTTTTCATTTTTATTTTTTCAGATTGCGCTGTCATTAGACCCACCGCCCTTTGCTTCGCATAATCATCTTTATTCTTATTTAAATATAAGCATTAATTAATGAATGATCAGAACAGCGTGTCCTTTAATAGCGTGTAAAAGACTCTAGACTCTTTAATATTCAATTTGACTAATAAGTTGAACGAGTCGTTTTGTATTCTTGAGTAATATTATGGCACCTCCCCAACATTTATTACTTAAAGCAACCTGCACAACTGTAACCAGCTCAGCTCAATTATTAACACAAATTGCTTATATATATTGACTTAATACTTGAAAAGTCTTCTTTAATTAGCGAAGTAAGATGCAAAGCTATCGGAAGCTTCTACGAAAGTCTAATTGAAATCAGGTACATAGATTTTACGAAATTATTTTTAGTAACAAATAAAGACCGTTTACCTGAGCTCCCTTCATCTTCCCTATAAAAATGTCTAAAACCACGGGAAACTTAAGATCATAACGAGCACTCAAACAAAGGAGCAAGATTGATCCGTAGAAGAAAAGATGGGACCTTTTGTAAGTATATATGCCTTTATTTTAATTTTTTTTAAAAACTACTTTCTGTATCAATCATGCATCATGCTTATTTGGAAGATCAATAAGTCTGGATAAATTAAAGTGCAATTAGTTCATATAATTATTAAAGGAATTTATATATGTTACAGTATAAATTGTTCCATGGAGATTTGCTATAACTATTTGTTTGTATTCATTCTTATTTTTTGCTCAAAAATACTTGAATTCATGGTGTTGCCAGTGCACCCCAATTTGTAGGGATACTCGACCATGTGGTCGACCATATTGCACATACAACATAGAAGGTGAACGAGGAGAACGAAGCTTTTTCCGAAGATTCCGAAATAATACACAAAGAGAAGAAGGAGATCTCTTTGCAAGATATTTTCAAAACAACTTTGTAGGACATCAAGAAGAACAAGGAGAAGGAAGAGGATTATTCCAAACATATTTTCAAAGAAATAGACGAGGAGGACGAGGAGACCGCCATCAACCACCACATTTTGTGAACAATATAGGAGGAGGAGGTCGTCATGGAATGTATTTTGATAGCAATGTAGGAGGAGAAGGAAGAGGACATCACCAACCATACTTTGTGAACAACATCATTGGGGACGCTGGAGGCACAGGTGATGGTGCAAGTGGTGTTGGCAGTGGAGTTCCGATCTACCAAACAACAGTTGGACCAGGGGATGTACTCTTTCTTAGACCAAATTGAAGTATAATTCTTCAACATGGAATTAGATGTACTTCGTGTATGAGTGGTTTTAATGTAATACTAAATATGTGGATTTGAGTTTGTATGATATTTATATCTTCATTATGCTTGTTTAAGAGATAAATTTGAATAAAACGTGTATCTGAATGCAATCGTATATTGTTATACTCCAATCTTAATTAGGATATCTTTGTTAGTCTAAGTGTGTAAATCCAAAACTGAATAAAAAAGACGAAGAAAAGAGTCCAGTCGCTGGCCGGTCGACCGCGATTCCTATAGGAAACTGAGAAGAAATCGACACTCTGGTCGGTCGACAGAAATGAGGAGTCCGATCGACCGAAACGTGTACGCCAGACCCTGCAGAAATTCATCATTCTGGCCGGTCGACCGACTTTGCATGTCCGGTGGACCGGAGTCGGAATTTCCAGAATCCTGATTATTTTGGGAATCTGTTTTGGGCTGGGACTCTATATATACCTTCAACGTTTTTTAGATTTTATGTGCAATAGAAAAAGAGGTTTTTTTGAGAGGATTCTTTAGAGAGATCTCAAAGAGATAAAAACCTATTTGTGGGTATTGTAATCTTCTTCAATTAATCAAAGAATTGTATGGTGTGGCTCCTGAGGATGTAGACACGTTGCCGAATCTCGTTAAATCCGGTGTGTTATTTTTTATTTACTTTCCTATAAGTTTTATCTTTTATTTGCGGTGATTTTCCTACTTTCCTACTCTCAAACACAAGGTCCGGAAGGACACGGATTCGATTTTATTGTTTTGAATCCCTAACAGCTAGTATCAGAGCTTCATTCAGAAGGTTTGTGTGAGAGCTATGGCAGAGGAAAGTAAATCTAAGATCGAGAAGTTTGACGACTCAGACTTCGCCTACTGGAAGTCACAAATGGAGGATTATCTGTACCAGAAGGATTTGTACCGTCCGTTGATAGGCAAAGCTAAAGGAAAGAAGAAAGAGGAATTAGACGAGGAGTGGGAGATACTGGATAGAAAGGCTCTAGGAAAATCATGTTAGACAGTTAAATCTAAGCATCAAAAATATCCATATTACTTAATACACCCAGATCTACACTATGGGCAAGGTTTGGATATAGGAGATCTTGCCTCAATCACGGTGTTGATCTCCTAAACGTGTGTGCAAACTTCTTTCCTCGGCTACAGCCCTCGTTCTCTCCGTCTGCTCGATGTCACGTCTCAAAACGCCTCGAGGAACTCAAAATCGGCTCTAGGGTTTAGGGCAAAGGAGGTGGTTATAAACTCTAGTGAATTCTATCAAGAAATAGGGTTTTTACGTGTTTAAAAACTGAAGATATCAATTGGGTTCGAAAACAACACAAATCAGACCTGAAAACTAAAACATGGCACGTCCAGGAATTCCTAATAGTCGACAACACCTCTTAGTAGTCGACTACACTGATATTAAGATTCTCTCAATTGATTACGGGCTCTTAGTAGTCGACTACTCTGAACATTAGTCAACTACTAAGAGTCTATGCAAGCTGATTCATTCATATTCGGGAATATATAGCCGAATTGATCTCAAATCAATTCCTAATGTACTCATACATCAAAATATGCTATTTATCGCAGTATAACATATTAAATATTATTTATCACATAATATTCAAATTTCTGGGGTTTTATATTCTTCCCCCCTTAAAAGAATTTTGTCCCTGAAATTCCCCAACCGTACTATAAAAGTATCTACATTTAACAGTCTAGCATGTGAGTGCTCCCACTTAACTCCTAACTAAGCAGAACTAGTACGTCGGGTGAAAAATCCAAACGAGGAACCCCCCATGTATATATTATGTGTTCCAAGTGATTAGGTGTTAAGTATTAGTACCCCCATTCTAGTTTTAAATATAAATATGACCACATCGACAATCACGTGAATAAGCAAAACATTATCAAAATAATCAAATTACATGCTCAAACAGGTACGGGTAGTCGCGACGCATATCCTCCTTGTGCTCTCAAGAAGCCTCCTCAACTCCTTTCTGGTTCCATTGAACCTTAACCAACGGTGTAATCTTGTTTCCAATCTTTTTGTCCTCTTTGGTAAGAATACTAATAGGAATCTCTATCGTAGAAAAGTCACCATTAAGCTCAATCGCTAGTACATCTAATACTCGCTGCTTCTCCTCATCGCGTAAATGTTTCTTAAGCATCGAAACATGGAAAACATTATGTATACTCGACATCGATGTTGGAAGATCTATCCGATACAAAATGGCTTCAATGCACTCAACTATCATGAACGGACCAATATATCGTAAGGCAAGCTTTCCCCGTCTACAAATCTCTGAACGCCCTTCATTGGTGATACTTTCAACATGACAAAGTCTCCAACCTAAAACTCCAAAGGTCGTTGTCTCTGATTCACGTAGCTCTTTTGTCGACTCTGAGTGGTAAGAATATGCTCTCTAATCAATGCTACCTTCTCAGTAGTCTGCTTCACAAGTTCTAGCCCAAGTAATAAGCTATCCTCCGGCTCTACCTAACAAATCGGGAATCTACACGGCCTCCCGTACAATGCCTCATACGAAGTCATACCAATCGTTGCTTGATAACTATTGTTATAAGAGAACTCGATCAATGGAATGTGGTCCTCCCAACTACCCTGGAAGTCTAAAATGTAAATCCGCAACATGTCCTCCAATACTTGATTTACTCTATCTTCGTTTGCCCATATGTTTGCGGGTGAAACACACTGCTATATGATAGTTTGCTACCGAATGAATCCTAAAACTTCCTCTAAAAATGTGAAGTAAAAACTGAGCCTCGATCTGATACAATCATCTTTAGAATTTCGTGAAGTCGAACTATCTCCCGAATGAAGATCCCGTATAAGTCTCGTCGGTGTAGGTAGTCATTACTGGTATTAAATGTGCTGACTTCGTCAACCGATCAACTATCACCCAAACAGAATCATTCCCCTTCTTCGACTTCGATAACCCTATAATGAAATCCATAGAAATATTTGTCCATTTTCACTCTGGAATGGGTAAAGGTTGTAGGGTTATTGTAGGTCTTTGGTGTTCTGCCTTCACCTGCTAGTAGGTAAAGAATCTAGCAACATATTCTACTATTTCCCTACGCATACCGCTCCACCAAAATCATCTTTTCAGGTCCTTGTACATTTTTATTTTGCATGGATGCACTATGTACCTGTTAAAATGCACTTCCTCAAACAAATCTCTCTTTAGCTCTGCATTAGCCGGCATAACTAATCGGTCCTTCATTCGAAGGCCTCTATCTACTCTAACAGTCCAATCAGCTTTGGGCTCCTTGGAAATCTTCTCCTTTCGGGTTCGAATCCAATAATCTTCTAGTTGAGCTTTGACCACCCTATCACACCAAGATGGCTGTACTAATATAGCTCCCAAAAATACGCTAGTCCCGACAATCTCTGGCCTAAAATCAAACTGACTAAGAGTATGAAGATCTCGATACAACAAGCACCTTAAAGTCGTAATCTAATATCGGCGCTTCCTGCTCAAAGCGTCGGCTATGACGTTCGCCTTCCCCGGATGGTACTGAATCGCGAACTCGTAATCCTTGATAAACTCAACCTATCATCGTTGCCTTTGATTGATTTCCTTTTGAGAGAATAAGTACTTCAGACTCTGGTGGTCTGTGAATTACTCGAACTGCACCCCATACAGGTAATATCTCCATGTCTTCAATGCAAAGACCATTGCTGCCAACTCTAAGTTGTGCGTGGGGTAGTTCTACTCATGTGTCCTCAACTACAGTGAGATATATGTCACTACTCTCTGGGTTTGCATCAAAACGCCTCCTAGACCTGCTAACAACGCATCCGTGTAGACAAAGAATGTACTATCATTGCTCAGAATAGTAAACATCGACACTATAATCAACTTGGCCTTTAATGTCTCAAAGACCTCCTGGCACTCCGTGCCCAAACAAACTATACACCCTTCTTCATAAGGTGTGTAAGTGATGTCACAATCTTCAAGAAGTCCTGAATGAACTTCCTATAATAAGCGGCCAAACCTAAGAAACTACGAATCTCTGTAACAGTAGTCGGCTGCTCCCAATCAAGTATCGCTGCCACCTTAGTAGGATCCACTACAATGCCCTCTCTACTAATGATGTGGCCAAGAAATCTAACCTCAGATAACCAAAATTTACACTTGCTGAACTTAGTGTATAACTGGTGCTCTCGTAGAGTCTACAAAGCCAGACGAAGATGCTGCTCATGCTCAGCCTCTAATCTCGAATAAATAAGAATATCATCAAAAAGCACTATTAAAAACTGGTCCAAGTACGGAAGAAAACCTGGTTCATCAAGTCCATGATTATCGCAGGTGCATTAGTCAACCTAATGGCATGACGAGAAACTCGAATGACCTAATAAGAGTCAGAAAGGTGGTCTTAGGAATATTCATCTCTCGAACCCGCAACTGATAATAACCAGAACAAAGATTAATCTTCAAGAAGTATTACGCTCCCTACAACTGGTCAAACAAGTCATCAATCCTTAATAATGGATATCTATTCCGGATAGTGACCTTGTTCAACTCACGATAATCGATGCACAATCACATACTACCATCCTCCTTCTTCACGAAAAGAACTGGTGCTCCCCACGGAGAATGGCTCCGTCGAATAAAAACCTAGGATAATAACTCATCTAACTAGGTCTGTAGCTCCCTCATCTTAGTCAGCGACATACGATAAGGTGCTCAAGAAATCAATGTCGTATAGAGCTATAACTCAATACAAAACTCAACCTCTCTCACTAGAGGTAATCTTGGTATGTCTTGGAAGACATCCGGATACTCGGAGACTACTCGTGTCTCGCTCAAATCAGTACCCCTATCCCGTAATCACACCTTCTCGATGTATTCTAGGAAAGAATCTGCAAAATGGTTGCCCTGTGAGGTCACTACGACCCACTCTGACCCTTCTGATGCTCGCAAGCTGACTATTTTAGCGAAACTGTCGATACTAACATGGTATGATGAAAGCCAGTCCATACCGAGAATGACATTGAAATCCGACATCCACAAAATGATCAAGTCTATGATAAACTCATACTCATCTAAA